AAAAATTAAAATATAAAACACAGAGTGTAATTTTTCAATTTATGAGAATCGAGTTGGCTCAGTTAATTCTCCAGATATCATGTTCATTTAATATAAATTTTATCTTAAATGAAAAGCTGGGGATTTATTTTATATTGTTATTATTAATCATAAACCTCCGACTTTTCATCTGCTTTTCTTTTTAGAGTTAATAAGATATTCTTGCAACACATTTTAACATAAAATTTATATAAAGTGAACATGATATCTGATAAATTGACTAAGTTTATATCAACTCGATCCTTATAAGTTAGAAACTTACACGCAATATTTTAATTTTTACTTTTTCGAGCAAAACCATAGAAGAGTTGTTGTCTTGTAAAATTTTTAAAAACCATTTTATTTTTACTCTTAAGCAATCGCGTGAAGGGAACTTTTTTCCAATTTTAACTACAAAACACTGAGTACGACATTTATACATAATAATGCGTTTAAACGTGCCCTAATAAAAAAAAAAATTATTCACAATAATTCAAAGTTTTTACAAAAAAGGAAGAAAACAAAAAAAAATAATAGGAAAAGTTCATCCAGAAAAGCTGGGGATTTATTTTATATTGTTATTATTAATCATAAACCTCCGACTTTTCATCTGCTTTTCTTTTTAAAGTTAATAAGATATTCTTGCAACACATTTTAAGATAAAATTTATATAAAATGAACATGATATCTGATAAATGGACTAAGACTATATCAACTCGATCCTTATAAGTTAGAAAGTTACACTCAATATTTTAATTTTTACTTTTTCGAGCAAAACCATAGAAGAATTGTTGTTTTGTAAAATTTTTAAAAACTATTTTATTCTTACTCTTAAGCAATCGCGTGAAGGGAACTTTTCCCAATTTTAACAACAAAACACTGAATACGACATTTATACATAATAATGCGTTTAAACGTGCCCTAATAAAAAAAAATTTTTTCAATAATTCAATGCTTTTCTAAAAAAGGAAGAAAACAAAAAAAATAATAGGAAAAGTTCATCCATTCTTTCATTCCAAAATTGATAATTCAGCATCATTTATTACATTCAGTTAAACATATCGATAAAAAATGTAATAATAAATGTAATATTATCAATGAAGGCATTATATTTTAGGGGTAAATCTAATCTTGACTGCAATATCTGAAATTTAATCCTGGCATAACTTGACATAATATATTCCGATATTTTATTCTTGGTCAGGCTTATCGCCAATATAGGGTTTGATTTTTATAGATTGCACCTCTCACATGTCAATGGCAAGAGTCCTAGATGTGCAATCCGCATATTGTTGAGCCGCGATGGCTCAGGGGATAGAGCGTTCGCCTTCCATTGAACCGGGTTCGAATCCCAGCGATGGCAAGTCCGCATCCGGCTTGCACCGACCACAGTGCTGACGTAAAACATCCTCAGTGGGAGGCGAATCATGGGTTCGAGTCCCTTTGCCGTGAGGCTAACCGAGCGAGGTTCTCGTGGTCTTCCTCTCCATATAACGCAAATGCGAACCGAACCTTAACCTTTATTTACAATGCGAATTTTAACCTTTTATTTAGCAAATTATTAAAAAATTATGAAAAATGAGCAAACTTTTTTGTCCTATTAAATAATGTCTATTTTACACATAGACAAATATTCTCTTTAATATTAAATATTATTTTCCATAAAATGTTTAATTTCGGTCACAAAATAAAATTTTAATGAAATACTTTTTTTTATAACTAGTTAAAAATTTTAATGTATCAAATATATATATATAAAAAAAACTTACTTGCAATATAGATCGAGACAAAAAGCTGAGAATTGATGAATCATAAAATGGCGTCTTCTAACGAAATAACAACTAAATAGTTCCATAGATGTTGCCAACTAGTAATGATAAACTGAAAGCTGTATTACAGTGACAGACAATTTCCGATAGGATATTTTGCTCCATTTCAATGTTATATAGAAGTCGTAGTGTGACTTATTAAAGTGCCGTCGGTACATAAAGAGTTAGCTTCTGCCTCTTAAATCAATTTTTCTTTTGAACATTGAACTTTGCCTTTATTTGGCCCTAGTTGCAAGGAAGGTCGGAATCAATTCTCATTGAGCGAACTAATACGGTAAATGATGCAAAATTATGAAGATTATGTTATGTCTTTTATTAATTCTTCTTTACGAAGGAAACGCATCTTATTTGCAAGGTATTAATTTGAATTACTCTCCAAAGCTTATCGATTTATGAATAATACAAGATTTTGTTATGCATTTGAAAGACATAAGAGTTAAAAGGTAAGGAAAAAAAATTATAAATCAAGAACCACTTGGGATTATGAAAATCAAAAATTTTTATACAAAAAATAAGCAAAAGCTTAATAAATTATTCAGATTTAGTTTAATTTTAAAAGTAATTAACCCATTGAGAGTATTAGGCTTATTCACTTTTAATATTTTTTACCAAATCTTAGGAGTTCAATGCATGAAATGTAACAGGTACACAATTACAAGACCCAGATATCGAAGTTTAGTTTAGCACCCGGTTATAAATTCTCATTTACTCTTGGCATACCCAAATTGAGTTTAAAACGAACTTGAAACAATTCATGAAAACAAAACATATTTGAAACCCTTTATCAAAGTTAAAATTACTGATTTAGGCATGATGAATTTTTAATGTGCAAAATGTTTACACTAATTTTATAAAAAGAAATAGACATACTAAAAACAAAAATTACACCTTGCCACTGATATTTATCATAGCTGCTAAATATGGGCATAGCAGTTGTCCAATTTTTGAGGGGACGAAATTGAAATACACAGTCATCCAAGTTTTCAAAATTTCCCTGGTAACAAAAAATATTTGAATTAACTAAAAAAATTTGCAAAAAGATTATTCTTTCTCTTAATTTTTCCTTAATGTTCGATTTAAGTTTAAATCGAGGATTGATTCATGAAAATTTTATTTGCCTGAAATATTGAAGGGAACATATACCCACCGTACCCAAAAACTGTGCTGCTAAATCTCTCGATTTTTATGGGAGATTTTCTTTTTATGTTTATTGTAGTAACAAAATGTATACGTTAATGTTTTCTTGGCTTAACAAAGTTGATTTATAATGAGTTTGAACACCACAGCAGATAAATAAATGTAATAAATAAAAGTTCGAACAAAATTAATTAAGTGATTGATCCGGTAAAATAATTTCTGCGTAGTTGTAAAATTAAAATCAATTGCTCCATCGTTGCAATAAAGAATTTGATTTTTAACCAGAAAGTGTAAAAAAAAATTTTTTTAAATATGTGAAAGAAAAAAAAACAGCTCTGCTATTTGAAGTGAAAGTATGGTTGACTAAATTTAAAATCACCAGAAAATAAAATTAATATAATGATTCATTTTACATTTAAATAGTATCATAATAATTTAGGTACAAAGAAATTTTTAATATTTCAATTCATGTAAATTAGTTTTTAAAAAAATACAAGAATTTTGGAACAGAGAACATAAAATTTCAATTTTTTTTATTGTCATAGTACACCTTACACAACTGATTTATAATTACAAAAGAAATTAAGCTTTAAAATACTATTTTAAGAAATTTTCAAGTCACCACCAGCAGATCAAATGAAATGTACAAATATGTGCAAGATCATAATAAATCATAGCTCTTTGTTCAAATTTTATTTTTAATTATATACAAATGAAAAAAATTCCAAAACCTCAGAACAATAATGTTGCAAATCTTTACCCCTACAACTCATACATTAAATATTGCAAGCGGAATAGTTTTCTTGATATGCATAGATATAGGAGTAAATAAGAATAAATAATTGATATATTTAAAGTTTAGAAACATTCTGGGAGTATAATCCAACTCAAAATTAACATTACTAGCAGTTTTAAAAAAAACTTATAACTACAGTTCTGAAAAAAAATTTAATAAACATTCTTCCAAATCATTTAATTTAAAACAATTTAAATTTTTTAAATAACAAATACAATGGAAGATCTATATAACGTAATTCTATAAACCCCGATTCTTAATAAACCACACTAGCTTTGTGGGTGTAAACAATGAAATTCTGGGATAAGAAATTTCTATAACTAATTTTTTATATTGAAAGCAAATCAAAATTGACTAATATGTTTGTTATTAGTTTTAATGTTGCAGTATATTTAAATAAATATTAATTCCATAAATAATTAAGCATATATTTTGAGTTTTTAAATACCTGTATACAAAAATTTAAATTATATAAAAAATTATTTAAATAAATAATTCCATAAATAATTAAGCATATATTTTGAGTTTTTAAATACCTGTATACAAAAATTATTTTAAAGCATTTAAAGTTTGTCTGTTTCAGACTAATATTGCCATATTTAGCAGAAAAGTTTAAAGATGAGTGAAATTATCTATTTAACACAAAATTATGTAAAGTGCAAACTGTCAGGTTTTAAAGTTTGCGATATAAAGATCTTCTACCGTTCAAACATTCTTTTACGTAAAAAGAGAAAAGTTAAAACAGCTTTTAACTTAAACTGTAAGAAAAAATCTGAGAAAATTAAAACAAACTAATGCTATTAAAATATTTAACATGTATTAAATCATTATTCTTTCATTTCAATTGTAACTAAAACTGATATGACTGCTTATTTATGCCATAAGTAAATAAAAAGCAAAATAAATAATGGAATGTCATTCGCTTATATATATATATATATATTCTAAAACGAAAAGAAGAAAAAAATTGGACTTTTTAAATATCCAAATTTAAACACTCTGAAAAAAATATTAATTTTGCTCTTAGATCTAGTATTAAATAAAAACTGGAGAAAACTAACATTTTTTTAGAAAAATAAATAACAATAATGACAAAAGTTATGAAGCATGTCTTTCTCATACTCACGAGGCTACAGAAAACAAGTATATAACAAAAGGAAAACACTGAAGTGAAATATTGCTGAAATGTAGTCAGATGTGTGAAAAAAGAAAATATAGCAGAAAAGTAGAAACAAAATTTATTGATAAGTTCTCAAAATAGAATAACAAACAATATGTGCATTCAAAAAAGTTACTGAAACTTAGTTAATAAATTTAACAAACAATTTTAATACAATATTTAAAGCAGGTATTAGTAATTAAAAAATATATTTAAATTTGTAATGAAAGGAGATATTATTTAGTCAATTATGTTTTTTTCCCTTAGGGTAAAAAGTAATTCAGACAGTTCAAAATTAGATATTCCATGTTCAAAATAATTATATATATATATCAGGGCTGGAAGTCCAAAATATAAAACTTAAGGACAATTCAAGGATGCCAATTCTCTAATAGGGGCAATATGGATTTGCAGATATACAATTGCTTAAAGTTTTAGTTTATCCTGTACTAAGTGAAAAAAAGAAAAAAAGGGGAATAAATAATCTTATCATGGAAAATCGTTAAGCAGTAGTGAAATACAGAGTAAGATATAGTGAAGAGAGGGGAGTAGAGATAAATATCGTACTTCACGAGACTTTGTTGTTCATTTTGTTATTTACTTCGTTTCATGGCATATAACATAATTTTTGAATTTGAAATTGCTTCCAATTACTTCTTAGGTTAAAAATTAAAAAAATTTACTTCCTGTTAACTTTTAAAAAAATTTGAAAAATCACAAAAATTTCAGGAAATTTATTGAAAATTTATATGTTTAATAATCAAGGAAAATTAAGGACACTTTCTTTTTTCTAAGGAATTTAAGGACAACTTTAAACCCTGTATATATATATATATAAACACACATATATATATAACAAAAAAGAACAAATTTTTAAAAAAAAATCTATTAATTGAAAAAAAATTGACTAAGACTTTAGTTTTGAAGGTTTAAAAGAATACATAAAATATATTCTTAAAAAAAATCCATTCTGAGCAATAAAATATTTCTTTTCTATATTTAAATATAAACAATCAAATATTCAAATACCAACGAAATTTCTTTTGCACTCATAGTAAATTAATGTTTTAATAAATAAAACTTATCATACACAAGGTATTTTTTTAAGTACAAAACTTGCATTCAAACTAAATTTTTTTGTTCAAATAGTGAGTTTGAAAACAAATCAATTTTTGAATTTAGAATAGTAGTACAAGACACAATTAAGTTGATACATATTTTTACAAGCCTGATGAGATTAAATTATATTCAGAAACAAATGATTTAAAAACCTTTCCATGATAATATATACATAATGTAGAATTTTAGAACAATAATTAAACTAAATAAAACTTTCAATCAGGTAATAATTTTTATTTTTCCCCCTCAAGAGATATAAATGCAAAAAATATATATATAAGTTTACACAAAATTTACTATATAAAACACAAAAAGCATAAACAAAAAATTACTTTAAGTTACAAAGCCAGATTTTGCAAAAGTTTTAAAAATCTAACTACAGATATAAATTAATAATCAAATTATTTTACATAACATAGCCTAAATATATTGTAATTAACTTAAAATGCAAGTAATAAATTATTTATATTACCAGAGCACATTTAAGGGGAAAAAAAGTTTAGTTTGCAAATGATGATGCAGCAATGAATATTTCAATTTTTTCCTAATGAATTAAAACTTAAAATTACAAGAAAACAAAGATGAGGAACCTTGCAAGACATACAGTACAATACAAAAATGTTCTTTTTTTTCTTGGAAATCACATGAATTGACTACATAGTCAAATTTTTAATATACAATACAGAAGGTAAAACAATGCCAGCTCAACAGTCTCTATATTCAGTGCAACAATAAATTAGGTGTCCAAAAACACGCCACTTCTTTAGTAGTGTTACACCTGTATCTCACCAGTATCACATTAGTCAATTCAGTAAGAGTTAAACTAATCCTTTTCATCGTCTTCATCAACATCGTCAAATTCCTTTTCATCAACTTCTGCAGCATCTTCAGCCAGCACCTTCTTTAAAACCTCTACCACATTGCTGGGGATGAGACAGCCGACAATTCTTGCAGAATCTTCAGTTTTCAGACGAACTACTTGCAATTTAGCATTATGTGAACCACCGTGTACAGGAAAGATACTTTCTATTTTAGTCCAAACTGAAAGCACAGAACCACTCAGAACAAAATACCTTCTCTTTCGAAGACCAACTTCACACTTAACACCCATTGTCTGTCTACGACATTGTCCATACCAGTACATGTGGCTACACAGTTCTCCAGATTGTTCATAGTTTTCTTTCCAATGCTCTTCTACTTCTTTTTTAGTACATTTGTGATATTTTGATTTTAATTCGTCTAAAGTTTCTTGCTTTGCTTGAAGTCCAGTGTTAGGTCTGTATACTCTGAATAATTTTCCTTTATTCCCTCCCTTTGTTCGACCAGTATCAGCAACCGCCAATATGGCAGTTTTTCGATTATTTCTAGCCTGGGCTGATAAATAAAAGCCTTCGTCTTTATCAGAGCAATCTTCTATTTTCTCCAAAACTTGTTCCCAACTCAAACCTCTCTCCACTAAAACTGTGTGTAATTCTGTTTTAGCTATTCCAGTTGCATGCTTCTGCATAAACATGTCAACTTTTTCTCTTTTTACTTGATCACCACCAGTGCCTAAATCAAGAATACCTAAATCATATCTTCCAGCTTTTTTGGCCTGAGCTATTACAGCATCTAATGTGTCAGTAAAATATTGGAATAGTCTATTTTGGAGATCAACAGGAAGACCTAAGATCCTGTTCATAAATTTACTCATATTATTGTAATCCTTTTCAAGGAATTGATAGCCATTCATAGGATCTTCAGTTATCATAGCAACGCCAGCTAATGATTTACGTACATCATAAAAGAAGTTGCCTTTGTAATCAGTTGGTGGAGAAACAAGGGGTACTTCATACTCCATAACTGCTCGCATTGCTGTCTCCAATGCTGTTCTTCCATACTTAGTATCAATGTTAAATTGACTCAAATCTCTGCTTTCAGTAGCTCTTCTATCTCCGTGAGTTAAAGCACCCAAGCTTTCAAGTCTTTTAGCAACAATGGATGCAAATCTTCTTTCGCCAGCAAGATCTGAAATCACAAACACATATTCAGGTGCATTAACTTGGTTGGATCGATGAGTTCTACCAAATTGTTGGATGGCTTTATCAGCACTCCAAGGCAATTCCAAAGTTATGTGAACTCGGCGTGCTTGATTTTTCACTCTTCTGTCAGATTGCAAAGATATACCAGAACTGGCCGCTTCAGATATAATAGCTATGTGCTTTTCTCCGTCCATGAAACGCTGCTTTTCTACCATATTTAATGTTTCTAATGGTGCATCAGCTTCTGACCGAGATTCATATTGTATGGTACCATCGTTACTAACTACACGACCTTTTCTTCCAGTCATTTCAGCTACATTTTCAGGCCCTCCTAAATCATCAATTAACTGATCAAGTGTATTGGGTGGAAGCAAATCACCTAATCTTTCAATTTTTTCTAATAATGAGGCTTTCATAGCAGAAGCCTTTTCAACAGCATCTAAGGGAGGGAGTGGTTTAGGAGGCTGCTTATGTTTCTTTGAACTGATAATGCCCTTATTTTTTCTTTTCTTACCTTTATCTTTTTTAGCTTTTTTGCGATTTGCCCAAGGGCCATCACTATCAGATTCATCGTCAAATGGATTAAAATCACTTTCCCTCTCAGAGTCAGAACCTGAACCTGCATTATCATCACCACTCTCAACAGCAGGAGACTCATCCCCAGAGGGTTCGAAGTCACTACCTCCACTAGGTATATAATCTTCAGCAGAGCTACTTTCGTCCGAAAGTTTATACTCTCGATAGCGCTTAACACCTTGTCTAGCACGTCTTAAAGGCTTACGCTTTCCACTAGATGTTGATGCACTTGGAGATGCTGAACTACTTCCAGCTTGTTGAAGATCAAGACCTAATAGACGCATAGTTTTTTTATGATCAGGTGCAGGAAACTGTTTTTCAACTAAAGATTGGAAGACACCTTTCGCAGTAGAAACAAAATCAGATAATTCTCCACCAGCTTCTTCAAGCTGCTCTAAAGTACGAGCCTCGCCTGTAGATTGTAAGCCTATGACAACACATTTTCCATTCTTTACAGCTTCTCTAGACAATTGGACAACATACCTAACTTTGGAAGCAATGCATAAATACTTAAAAAATCGTTGATGAGAAGCCCAAAACTGACACCACATAGTTTTCTTTGTTCGTGGATCACCTTCCATTAGTTCAGCAGCTTCTTGAAACTTTGCTCGAGCTTCAACCCAAATCTTAACTGATTCATTATACATACTGATAAAATCTTGGGCTAAAGGTATTTCTTCTATTTTGAAAGATACTCCAGCAAAACTCAACTGCCGCGCCATGTATAAACCTCTCAACTTCATATCCATTGCAACTAATTCCATAGCTCCAACACCTCGCTTTTCAACAACAGATATAAAATCATTAAACTCTTTGAAAGGAGTACCTTCACCCCACAAGCCAAGTCTTGTCATATATGCCATATTTTTTGGTTCAGAAGCACCAGTTGCACTAGCATACACTACTCTGGCTTTTGGTAATTTATTTTGTAAATCTAAGACAGTCAGACCAGTTTTTGTGGGTTTACTAGAGCCAGCTGGACAAAGATTTTTAGCTTTATGGCATTCATCAAAAACGATGCAGCCATCAAAATCATCACCACACCAATGCAAAAGCTGCTTCAAGCGAGTTTTGTATTTACCTCCAGACTGACTTTCTCCAATCAAAGATGAATATGTAGCAAATATAACACCTTTTTTAACACTGCCATTAGCCTTACATGATATTTTCGCATATTTAAATTTATTTAAAGCGTGTACTTCAATCTTGCCAGCACCTATGTCTTTTAAGTCTCTTTCAGCATCATATTTCAAGTCATTTGAAACACTCAACCATATTGCTCGTTTTCGTCCAAGAAGGTAATTTTCATAGATTACCCCAGCAAGAGTTCGACCTTTACCCACACCAGCTCCATCACCAATAAGAAATCCAGCTCTTGTTCCATCAGGCAAGATAGTCTCATGCTGTTGACAAGCATATGTTATTGCCTCTAACTGCAAAGCAGAGAGCAACCCTCTATCAATAACTTCTTCAGGAATGCTCAGTTTATACCATGTATCTGGTGGTTGAACACTAGAAAGCGAGCTTGTTTCAACAACTGGATCTGGATGTCTTATGCCTATTTTTAGCTTTGAGGGCATATAATCAGCATAGGTTTCAGCCCGTCCCAACTCTTCCTCTTCATCTTCACCTTCTTCATGCTCAGGTCTAGGCTGCATTGTACCACCAGTCATCATCATCTGCCTAAGAAGATGATCGCCATTCATGTAATAAGGATTTATATCTTTAGATGTTAAACCATAAGGCATTCCTGGAAATCCATTCATCATTTGACTTTGTAAAGCCATTTGCATGGCAGCAGCACTGAACATTTCAGGCCGCATCATACTAGCCATACTCTTATCCATAAATGGAAACCTGGCATAATCCATCATGGTAGCTGCATTGAAAGGAAATCCACCACTATTAGGCCAATGATTTGACATTTGTGGCATCTGATGCATATATTGCTCTAGGTGTGACTGTTTAGGCAAAGATTTAGTAGAGGAAAAGTCTTTTTCGTTAAAAGTTTGATCATTTTCAGGCTTAATGCCAGATTCATCCAGTGCCGCAGAGAGCAAATCTGGCGATTCCATCATTGAGGATTGATAAAACTTTTAATCAACCTAAAAATAAATACATTATTTCAATAAACCTTCATACTAAACAACATGCAAAATTATATTGATAAAATACTCATAATTTATTGAAACAAACATAAGATTTTCCCAAAAGCTCTCAATATAAAATGTTTCAAGAAATTAATCTACTTAATGTTTAAAAAAAATTTTAATAAAAAATACATGAATTTGTGGTGAAATCTGCAAACATAGCTATTCTTGTGAATATTATTACGAAATTTTAATGCAATAGAGACTATTTAAATTCTGTTCCTTTTTTTAAAAAAATTGCATTGTAATTTTTTCTCTCAGAATATAAACCATTAACATAAAAACCATTATTTAACAAAAAATATTTTTTTTTAAACATCTTTTAGCTGGGAAGAATTTACTTACATTGATATTTTTAAAATGTATTTTTAATTACACAATTATGTTTATAAAATAACTCAAAATTTTCATTTTAAAATTAGTTAAATTTCATAAATGCAATTATAATTGAAATATTATTGAAAATAAATCAAAAATATATTAGAAACTTTATTACTGTTATAAATATTGTTTTATGGTAACATACAAAATACATGCAAATGTAAATGGAATAAAAATTAGTAATAAAAGTACTATTATAATTAACAAAACTATTTATAACTAAAAATGAGGCGGGGGAGGAAAATAATTCATTTCTCAGAATTTTTTTAAGAACTTTTAAAATTACAAAGCAGTCTTATTCATATTACCTTAGATGTAGTGTGGGTTATAAATAGTTCAAAATTTTATAACTTAACTTATTCATTTAATAAACCCTTAACAATTATCTTGGCTAGAATTATCTCAGGCTTTTAAATTGAGGGGCTAAGAAAAAGTTTTCTTAATTCATCTATCTTTATAGCCAGTGTTTCCTTTATACCATATTAGGATAGTTTCCTATCAAAGTTGTATATACTTTAAGAAATACATTAATTAGCAATAACAAAATATAAATGTGGCTTTCTAGATTAGGATTTTCTGGTAGGATTTTCATTCATTAGATTTTAATTTCAGGTAGGACTCACAAACTTTAACGCAAATCAAATTTAATAATTACTTCTTGCGTATGTAAATGTAAAATAAAAATACTAAATAAAATATATACTTTTTTTGCTTGCATTCCAAAAAATCAAAATGAATTATACGATTTTAAATATGACATTTCAAAAATACTGTAAGTACTAATGTAAGCTTGCTAATCAAAACCCGTTGACCATTCATAAATTTTACCAATTACCAAAACTATGCATAAATATTTTTTTTTTTATATAGAAATAAAGTTAGTCATTGTTGAAAAATAAACAAAACTTAGCTGCATTATTGTTCTGATGTAAAAGTTTAAAAAAAATAATCAATAAAAAACTTTAATAGAACTGCTAGATATTAATTAAAATAAATGTTAGATAATTAGATTAAATGCTAGATATTAACAAATATTTAAAAAAAAAAAAAAACTACTATAAAAAATCTCAACTATAAAAAAAATATCCTCTTAATTCTTAAAGCAAAACTTTAATGTTAAAAATAATATTTTCCGAGAAAAAATTATCAATAACACATTAAAAGATATATCTATCAGAAACGCTTTTAAAAATAAAGTGCTATCATAAAAACGCTTATAAAAAAAAATTTAAAAAAAGATGCAAAAGCAAAGCAGAAAAAATAAAAATCTAAATTTTTGAAAGAAGATTTTAAAGCTAAACATTTCAGGTTTTCAATTATTGTATTTTCAAGAAAAAGTAAGGATTATTATTTTACCTCTTAATTGTGGCATCATATTTAAAACATCTATTAAAAAAAAGCTAAATAGAACAAAAATCGTTCTTAATTTTTAAACAAAAGATTTGATACTAAAAGTCTTTTTAACTTTTTCACATCCCAGTATTTTTAGAAAAAAGTTACCATAAAAGAATAAAATTCATTAGAAACACTCTTTAAAGAATGCTGTTATAATAACAGGGCTGATAAAAAGAAAGATTAAAATCAATGGGGAAACAGAATAAAAAAACTGATCTTAGTTCTGAAATATAACCCTAACATTTGTTGTACAAAGTAATCTAGTTTCAATTCTTCAAACTTCGCTTTTTCAAGTGCTCTTCAGAACATAAATTAACAAGTTTTAGAACTTAACAAATATATGTAAAAACTATATGAAATAATGCATTGTAAAAAATACGATTTTAGACTATTCTTCGTTAAATCTATTAAAATGTCGCTCCAAAAAAACTTTGTCTAAAAATAATTTTTCAAATAATACTTTGCCAAATATTTGTCCAAACATTCAGCCAAATATTTAGCCAAGGTACCAAATACCGAATAATGGCTGAATATTCGTTACATCCTTAAAAGATCAAAATCAATAAATCTTTTTAAAAGATAATTTTGACACACTATATTCTTTTAGATATGAACTAATTTATAATTCTCAAGTCATTAGTTAATTTAAAATAATACTTCGCCAAAAATAGGATAAAAACAAGTGTCACTGAAAATTGAATAAGACAACATATCTGCTTTAGAATAACAAATAATTTGAAATTATTGTGTTCTTATGGAGAATTATAATCAAATAAGCAATTACTTTCAATAAGTTTTGGTTACAATGTTCTTTCTGAATAATACTACTATTAAGCTGCAAAAATATTTTTTTAACCATTTCGTATAAAGATTATGCATTTCAAACAACTCATAACACATTACTCGTAGACTAAGATAAAATGAAAAACTTTCTGCCAACACAAAATCTTACTGAAAAAACTTTCTGCACATTGATTTAAACTCTTGTAACTAGTTTTAATCCTTTTGTTGCCACCTCATTTTGGCGAATCTTGTATGAAGATCAGATTTTTCAAAAAATGTTCAATCTTTATAGAACTCTTTAACAATTTATACCACAGGGATAAGTTTGTTAAAAATAAGTTGAAAATAGAAATCCAAGTGTTATGGGCAAAAGCACTTTTTAAATTAAGGGTGCATAACCTTTGAGTGAAGGGCCACTTGCACAGCCGATTGATTAACGAAGAGCTACATGCATATTTAATCATGTTGGCAGCAAATCTGACAAATTTCATATAAACATTAGCGTTCAAAGCACTAAATTTTTTATCAAAAAGATAAGTAGTATACTGCTGAAAATTAAATACCTTAAATTAATAGAATTCATTCAAAAATGAAAAAAATGATACTCATTCTAAAAAGTTTTTCCCTTTTTATCAATAATTGGTTTAACCAAAGTACATCTGAAATAAAAAACGGACTCTATCTGGCGAATAGGGCTGAGAAGATTTATTAAATCTAGGTTTCTTTCTAGAAAAACAAAGTTCTTAATCTACAAAACTCTTGTCAGACCAGTCTTGACATACGCTTCTGAAGCTCGGACAATCACAAAACTGAAGGAAAATTGTATCACAATATTTGAGAGAAAGATTTTGAGGAGTATACTTGGTGGTGTAAATGAAAACAACAACTGGAGAAGGAGATTTAACTTCGAACAACCTGATATTGTATGTAAAATACATAAAAATAAATAAAATGAATTGGATGGCCCACGTGATTCAAATGAGTGACGACAACACAATAAAAAAGATACTGCTTTTTAGACCCACTGGAAAAAGAAAGTGGGGATGGGCTGACAAAGTGGAGTCTGATTTCCTTGCAATTAATGAAAAGAATTGGAGATCAAAGAAAAATCGGGAGTCGTCATAGGGAAATCTTCAGAGGAAGGCATTGGCCTACATTCGGCTGTCTGGCCAACTATGATGATGATAAAATATATATACATAAATATTAGGGAGTGGGAGAAAAAATATAAATCTAACAAATAAAAATCTGCAAAAATCACAAGTGTAAAAAGATGCATACATATTTTAATGAAAAAAAATTTATAGGATTTAAACAAAAACCAAAAATTAAAACAAAACTATTATAGTACAAAATAAGATTCAATATTTATTTGGTATTGAATCTTATCAGATATTATGTACATTTCTCGAATTATAAAAAGGTTTTATGAAATTTAAAAAAGGAAAAAAAAATTATTTATAAAAACAAGACCAAAGTTACAAAAAATGTATAACTGCTGAAAAGAAGACGAAAAAATAAGTTATACTTACGACGAAATACGCACGAATAAATAGTATCAAAAAGTGATTATTTAAATGCACATTAAAAACTCATGTGTCATAGTAACATTATAGTTAAAGTAACGGAATCATCAAGATCACATGGGAAAGCATTGCAAAAAATGCTTACATTTATAATGAAATCCGTACAAATAAAGCACATCAATAAGTTATTTAAACACATAATTTAAAATTTGCATGTTGTAATAAAACCAGAATCTTTTAAATCATGTGGGAATGCATAAAAAAAATATTTAAAAATTTCTGAATAATAACTTGTATTTACCATGAAATCGGCAAAAACAAAGCACGTCAAAAAGTGGTAATTTAAATGTGTGAATTGAAACTTGCGCTTGCGTAACGTAATAATATCATAGTAAAAATATAGGATTTTCAAAATTACATGCAAAAAGTGTAGCAAAAGCAGCCTTAAAAAAAAAATTAAAAATTTAATACCTTTGCGATGAATTTGGCACAAATAAAGCATTGTCAAAAAGGGATCGATTAAATGGGAGAACTCAGGAGACAAAGTACCATACAAATAAATGTATCGGAATTTCAAAAACCTCATGGAAGTTGGTAATTATAAATAGCAAAAAAAAAATTCTTTCTTAGATTTGCGATGAATTTCGCAAAAAAAAAAAAAAAAAAAAAAAAAAAAAANTAAAAAAAAAAAAAAAAAAAAAAAAAAAAAAAAAAAAAAAAAAAAAAAAAAAGCATGTCGAAAATAGATTACTCAAATTCAAAATCAAATATCGTATTAAAAATATCAGATTTTTAAAATCAAGCAAAATTTCATTGCAATAATTGTTGATAAGCTATCAAGAAACAAGATAGATATACATTAAATCTGTG